TTAATAGTATGAATTTGATTATTACTATTATCAGAGATTTGGCTAAGAATATTGCCAGTCTTGAATTGACACACAGCCGATAAAAATGAATCTCATAATATTATGTACATACATTAAGGAAATGCTTTGAGGAAGTGCGTCTATCAGGCCACTGCTCTCGCAAATTACTTACAGACTGGAATGCACTGACAGTGTTGATAGTAGGGGGGCAACAACAAATATCTACCTATCTATAGTAATTGCAATAAATAAATAATTGATAACACTAAAATTATTGAGTGGCACAATGGAAAGTCTCGCATAAGTGAGAATTTTCAACTGTATATCCTCAAATAAGAAAAAATCACACTATTAGTCAGATCACGATTCTCTACTTAATATCCTACTGGTACATTATGTGAGGAATGCGAGACTCACATAAAACTAACTATTCAAACTAATTGAGTGCAGCTGATTGAGCTGCAAATGTTTGGCTTTCTTTTGGTGACAGTACTCTGTCCCTCTCGAGGACACTGAGAAAAGCTCACAATTTAACAAATAACTTCAGGTATTCTCCTGCACTACACATGCAGCAGTCATTTTTTTCCCCCTAAAATCCTATTATTGCTGACTTACATGCCAATGAAAGGTTTTAGCAGCTACAACAGGCGTGCAGAAAGATAGAATGAGTTAAACATAAATTGCCAGTTTTCTCTCCTTATATCTAATATCAGAGAGCTTTGGTGCGTGACTAGCGTGCGGCCCTGGCGGGGCCCTGGCTCTGGCTGGGCCTGGCGCCGGCGGCGGGGCCTTGCCGGGCCTCACACCGCCATGGGCATGGGCCGCAGGTTGGCCACGCTGGACATGCGGCGGATGCGCTGACCGGTCAGCTTCTTCTCGATGTCCTCAAGGCTCTTGCCCTGCGTCTCCGGTACAAAGAAGATAACAAAGAACAGACCAACGAAGCACACTCCGGCGAACATCCAGTAACCGTTGTGCTTGCCGATGCTCGTCATGATGTTCTCGAACGTGAGCGTGACGAGGAACACGCAGGACCAGTTGAAGGCCGTGGCGAGTGATGCAGCCGAGCCACGAATGTTCGCTGCAGACATAGAAACAGTCAGGGGTCAGGTTGGGGAGCCTAGGCGACGGTTAAAGACTAACCGTCTTTAGCGATAAAGTTTAAATTCAAATTTCAAAATCTGGTAAGGTTGCTTTCTTTTCGGGCACCTAGTCGGGCTACCCCCGACCGAGTTCATCAACGTGGCCGTCTGTCTCACTCACCTGGTAAAATCTCGCCCATCATGAGCCACGGCACGGGGCCGAAGCCCACGGAGAAACCTACGACGTATAGCATGAGGCAGGCGAGAGGGATCCAACCGGGCCATTCAGTGCCCGCATCGCGAGCGTAGAAGAAGGCGCCGAGCGTGCCCAGAGTCAGCGTCATGGTCACGCTCGAGGCGTACAGCAACACTTTGCGGCCCAGCCGGTCAATGAGTACGGTGGCCACGAACGTAGAAAAGAAGTTGACAACGCCTATGATGATGGTGCAGAGGTTTTCCTCGATTGTGCTGCCCGCGCTCTGAGGAGAAGTTTTGGGTCAGGTTTGGACTGTCGAACAGAACAGGGCGGCCACCGGCCTCACCTCACCAGTACGGATGCTTACCTTGAAGATGCTGGCGGCGTAGAAGATGACGGCGTTGATACCAGACATTTGCTGGAACAGCATCAGCCCGATTGTGATAAGGAGGGGGCGCGCGTTGGCGCGGCTGAACAGCTCTCCGAATCGCGAGGACTCGCTCGCGTTCTTCTCGGCTTCCGCGGCGATCCGCTCAATCTCGGACATCTCGAAGGACACGTCGGCCTTGGATCCGCGCAGCCACTGCAGCGCCGCGCGCGCCTGCTTGGCCTTGCCTGCGAATGACGAGCGTGCGGGTGAGCATTTGGTGGACAGGTTGTGCGAGGGTGGCCGCGGGCCCGCCTTTGCGGGAACCTCGGTTGGCACTCACCTTTAGACATGTACCAGCGGGGAGTTTCCGGGATGAGGAACATACAGATGAGGAAGGGCACCGGGATGACGCCGCCCAGCATGGCCAGGTTGCTCCAGTCCAGATATTTTCCGCAGAGGAAGCACAGCAGGATGCCTATGTTACCCAGCGTGGTCGGCATGAGCCCCAAGGTGCCGCGCACCTCCGGCTGGACGGTCTCCCCGAGGTACACGGGCAGCGACAGGGAAGCAATGCCCACGCAGACGCCCGCGATGGCGCGCCCGGCCAGCACCATTGTAATGTTCATGGCGAGGGCGATGAGGAACCAGGAGATGATGAAGGGCACGGCGGTGGCCAGGATGGTGGTCCTGCGGCCGAGGCCCTCGATGAGCGGCCCGCCCAGGATGCCGCCGGCCAGCGCTCCCAGCGGCATGATGCTCCCGACCCAGGAGCTCAATTCTTTGGAAAACGCCAGATCCTCCCGCATTCCCTCCAGCGCCGGGGAGGTGTACCCCGAGGCGAAGCCCACCACCATGGACCCGAGCGAGACGGACAGTGCCGCCATCACCTGTGGGGGCAAGACAAGAGTTTGGTCAGGCTGCAGTTGCGCGGGTATACAAATGAAACCATTCTCTCCGCGCCCTTATTCAATTCGCCTGCGAGCAGGCAAAACGGATCCTGGGGGTACGCGCCTGCAGCAGTTTGGCGAGCCCATACTGGGTGAGCCGAAGGGGGAAACGACTCTTAGATCTCCTATAGAATGGGTTACCCCGGATCAGCCCCCCAGGCTCCGGATCACCTCCCGGACTACCTCCTCCGATTACCCCCGCGTTTCCCCAGGTCGTGTCCTCGGCCCGTCCGGGCCCTCTTTCCTGTCCGGCCGCCGCTGGCCCAGCACGTGCTCGCCCCTGGACCCTGGTCCCCTGACCCCCCCTGACCCCTCTATCTGTAATGACCCGGCCATATCGCCGCGGCACTGCCGCCCATGTGTCGCCTACCAGTTCTTTTCGGTTGGAAGCACGATGTTATGATCGTTTTATCGAGTCACATCATGTCTGGTAAACAACGCATTTTTTTAAAACGGATTTTGATCTGAGCGCCAAATTGACTTCGACAGTTGGTTACTACGCCAAAATGTGATAATTTTGTCTCTTGTCCCTTGTCCTACACCGGGTGTTTCGGTGCACGTGCCGCTGGTAAGTGATAATCCAGAAAGTAGACGCCCGGCATTCGCCGTTACGAAACTGCCAAGTTCAGTGTCTGCAAGCTCTCATGGCGCCAGGTGGGTAGGCAACATCTTGCATACAGTGCGTGCGTGTACTGCGGGGCGGCCTACGCCGAGTCTCGTAGGCGCTGAGCTCCTATAACTTACCGGATGAATCTGAGAAAAACCTGCCTACTTTCTGGACGATCCCTAACGAGCTAGTTGTCACTAATCTCTAGAATGCGTGTTGCGTTCCCCAACCCTTATTAGACTCTCTATCCAATAGATTAACAGGTTGAGTGCACCCCCTCCCCTCCCCCGCCCGCTCCCCTTGCGGCTCCCGGGGACAAACGGCGCAGCAGTCCACAGAAGATGATAAGAGGCTGTATCGCCTCAGCACCCCCGGGCCCGCGGTCACTCGGGGTCAGCGGGTCACCACGGCGGCCACCACCAGCGGGACAGTGACAGGCGGTGACCTCCGTGACTAGGAGTAGATCAAGGGCTACTTTTGGATACATGTTTTTCTACCCAATGGCCGAAAGTCCCGACTAGGCAACGGGTGACGGACTGTGCATGTAGAAGGTTTCGGGCGGGAGAGCGTGAGGCAGACTTGGGTTGGGAAGTTGCGTGAAGGGCTCTGCGTTTGGAGCGCTTGTCGAATCACATGTCTTGCACACCCTTTACCAGGCGCTAGTGAGCACTGGTGTATGAATATTTTTAAACTTTTGGGTGGATTCACTGTTTTTATGAGAGTGTTGGAGACTGCTGCGTGACTTTACTTAGAACCAAGTGACAATTAAACTTTAAGGTTCACTGTCTTTTTAAAAGAAAAGTACAACTTGATTTTATTTACACATGTTGCGAAAAAATTTACGAATTAAATTTTCAATGAAAATTAAGACCAAATGATTTATGAAATTTAAGAACATGTCTTGAAAAGTTAAAAAGGTCTTTCTATTCATACTGAATTCAGCCTAATTAACCCATTCTGCCAGATGGGCACTGCTGTCGTACAATTTAAACACCATAAGGCCACTCATTCAACTCCACCAAAGAGTTGTTACTATCACTACTGGCACTGCTATCTATTTTCACTTTTGCAACTCCCCAGTCCGCGGCTGCGGCGCGGGGGCGCCTACGGTACCTGGGACAGGGTGCACTTGGCGCGGGGCTCATCTCCGTTGATGTTGATGTTCACGTGCGTGTCCGCACGCATCAACACCTTGACCATGGTGGTGCCGGTGACGGTTCGGTGCGTAGCTGCTAGCAAGGCGGGTGGCTGGTGACTGCGCGCGACGCGCCCGGGGCCTGGCTATGTACCGGGGGTATGGGCCGGGGGCGGCCGGGGGCGGCGCCGGACGGTGCGGGGGAGAGGCGGGGACGG